GTGACAATTCAGCCCACGTAGATGAACAGCCGCCCAAGTAAATTTGGCAACCCATTTTAAAATCATTCTTGATTGCTGCGCAGCGCACATTTGCTCCGCACATCATCTCACTCAGTCGCTCTCTCTCTCTCTTTTGCAAACACGAACAACATAAACATAAACACACCTGCACAAATCTGTCCAACACAATGCTGTCAACAGTTATTAGCAAGCATGTAAGGAGCCTAGCTAATAAGGAGAGCTTTGTTAACTTTGGAAAACAGCTGTTGAAGTTACCACGCTGTATAACTGGTAGTCAACAGGTGCGTTCGAGATAACTGGCTGACTTTTGCAGACTTGATAGATAGGGGAATAAAAAAAGCGCCGTCAAGTCAGACACACTCTACCTCCGGTAGACTGCGTGAGCTTACTGTGAGATTATAACAATGATCAGGCCTTGATCCCACAAGGTCTAGTGACGTTTTGCAGCGCAGGTGTTGTGCTGAATTCTGCATGCCTGCCGTGAATTGCATACACCTCGAGGTGGATGCAAATTTCGGTAGGTAGCCTACAATATCTGTTTTGCCGAAATTATACAATTCACTTCTTAAGGTCCTTTTAGGACACTTTGCTGTTTGAATGCGGTTAACGCCACATGTTTTTGCTGAATCTCAAGAAATGGTACTTTTACTGTGTAATAATATATTAACGATTAACGTTCATAAAATATATACAGATCATTTATCACTATTGATCAACCCCACAAAGAATAGTATAGCGTTTAAAAGCAGAACTGGTAATGCATTTTCCTACAATTCTCGGCAGGCATGCAAAATTTGCTAACGTGGCTTTAGACTCTTAGCCTTGTTAACTTAGAAAGAGCTGTTAGCAACTTTAAAACAACTGGTAAGTGCTGTAAAGCTATCGGTCATCAAGAGGGACCTTCCTTGCTGTAGGAGTCTCAGAGATTGTGTCTCTCAGCCATTAAGCTTTCCTCCCTGGACACACATCCCTCAACCCTCCCTTCTGTCGACAGAAAGCAGCCTCCGCCTCTCCTGTTTCCTCTCCTGAGCCAGGGTTTACAAATTCCCCCTGATTTACAAGGTCATAAAACTCTCCTCCTCCTCCTGCTCCTGCTTCAATCAACCTCTCCAGCTAAAGCAGCTATTTTATAACTCACCAAGCACATGCTCCTGCACAAGGATGCCGCAATCGATCTGCTTCCTGGTTTCAGATTGCATATTGCATTTGCTCGGAGACTTATACATCAGATTACAGTACAGATGAATACACACTGTGCTCGCTGAATACCACACGGGCTGATCAAGGACGTGGAAGGGGAAACTCTTTTGTAATGTTATCAGTCTGTCTTCCCAGTGTGCTGACAGCTGAGACAGGATTATGAACTGAAGTTGACATAATATCATTACGTGAAGGAAAAGTGAAGAAAATGAATCCACAATGAATCTAAAAATGGCGACGCACCTCAAACATGCTTCTCTTACATGTTGTCCCACTGCTGTATTCCTGACGCTGTCTGCCAGGGATGAGATTTTTCTGTTCTTTTTAAACACCACTGTAGTCCAATCGAAGTGTGTTTGTGTGTGTGAGAGAGAATCCAGCCATGCTCCAGAGAGCATCTGGCGAAGTGATGTCCTCTGACCGTGAAGCTTTGTGCGGCGACTGCCTTGAAGGGTCATGGCAATCGTATGTTCCTCCCCTGCACACAGTCACTCAAGCAGTCAGAGTGAACACACATCCTGCCTTAAGAGACTTAATCATGCCTTTCCTTTAGTAGTGTTTATTTTCCCTTCCTCTCCAAGCAGTTAGAGCCATGCAACATGTACCGTAGCTCAACAAACATTGCACTCTTACACATGATTGCACCACAGTCCAACAATGCTCAGTATAATCCATAGTCTAACTTTGCTAAATCTCATATGCATTATTACAGTGCATTGCATTCTATGTTGAATGCCAACAGACTGTTCCCAATCTGCTTCAGCTAAGGTTTTCAAATGAAGCCTCAAATGTCCATCTTGATATTTTATGACGTCATCGCCCTGAAAAAACAAACTCAATTGTAATAAAGTGATTCATCGGATCAAATTATTTGTTCTTTTTTATATATATACATGATGGATGTGGGCAGCAGGCTAATCCCAAAATCCTGTTGCAGAAGTTCACAGAAGGCTCACTCGCAAAGCAGCCAAAATAGATTTTTTTGTTGTTGTTGTGGTTATATAAATGTAATTTTTGGTTGCTGTTAGGTTGCTGCTAGACCGACCCGTTAATACAGGTGTGAGCCTCCCTTTGTGTGCGGCAAGCTGGAGTGCGAACTGTTTTTTGACCGCAGTGAAAATTTTATTTTTGAAAGGCCAACACATATTAACCGAAGCAGGATATTTTATTGGATAAAAACATCTTTGTTTAGGGTTTTTTTTCAATACTTTTTGACTTTTGGACTTTACAAGGCGCTGGAGTTTGTATCACATGAGTTGGAAACAATCCTATGCAGCCACCACTGGATAGTATTAGTATAGCCTAATCTTTATCTGCAGCTGTGCAGAAATACTGGGTTTACACAAGGGCTGCAGCTAACAATTATTTTCATTATCGATTAATCTATAAATCAATATCGATAAAAAAAGGACTTGATATATTGATTATCAAAATAGTTGTCGATTAATTTATTGTTGACAACTAATCGATCAGTTGACTAATCGTTGCAGCTCTATTTTAAACAACATGAATGGACATGCAAAAAATGGGGGTGGTCGATTTGAATATTGGCGTTGTGAATAAAGCTTTAAACTATTCGGGACAGCCCTATTATGTTAAACGCATACGTAAATATGTCAGCTTTTGCATTTAAAGCGCCATCAGCTGATGTCAAAGTGCAACATCTTATATTTTCTATTCAAAATATTTACATGAATCACCACTGCATTGGAATTATTCTGTTTTTTGGCCTCACGTCTAAACAGCTGAACATGGTAAAATATGTATTCCTGTTCCAAAGTGTGGATCTATTAGGTCTTTTTTTATTAGCTGTTTCAAGTCTCCTGCACAAGCTCAGATAAATTCCGGAGAGTGTGTGTGTGTGTGTGTGTGTGTGTGTGTGTGTGTGTGTGTGTGTGTGTGTGGCTTCTTCTTCAGATACCCACCAGTAACCCTCATTTATAAATCCCTTCATACATGGAGAAAAATCCTAGCTCAGTTCAGAGTGAAAAGATTACAGGATAGTGATTTCACCTTCTAATTAGCACTTCATCTCAAACACACACACACCAGGCTGCTTTAGTTACAGCAGGATTGCTGGAGGCATCTGATAACCAGGCCTCCAGGGACACTGACGAGCGGCTACCTGAAATTTAATCCCCAAAAGAAAGCACTGAGGTACACAGACACACACAGTCACAGACTGAGAGCAGGAAAATGTCCTGGAGGCAGAACTGTTTCAATGGCAGGTTCGTGTGGAGGAGTTGTGTGTAAATTTGAAACCGGTAGCTTTCAACAATAATGAGGCCTTGCTGCCCCATGTGTGTGAAGGCTAATCAATAATATTTCAGCGTGTGCGTGTGTGAACATACTGGTGAATGCGCCTTTGAGGCATCTTGTCAATATGGAGAAAATGGCCAGCTTTCATCTATACTGCATCCCTAAAGGGCTCGGGCTTTAGCATTCGACTGTACTGTACGTCGCTCCCGCGTGGCTCAGCGGTCTTCAGCAGGTACAGGACAAAGTGAAAAAGACACATTTTGCACTGCATTTTAGAAGGGGACACGGGGGGATAGTTTGTGTGCACATTTGGCTGCGTTACACTGCAGTCATGTCCTCGTTTTTTGAGAATCAAAGGCCTGCTGTGACAGTCTCAGCATGGGGACGATCAGAGGCCTTTTATAATGGAAGTAATGTTTCCATCCAGACTGATTAACTTGACTTATTTTTAAAATGAAACTCTTATGGGGCTTCTATGACCAACTTGACAGGGATACTAAAAAGATGTCTAAAGTAAATGCATTATATGCCTGCCCAAGAAACTGGTGAATTGATAAACACGTTTAGGGAATTTCATTAAGACATTTTTACAATTTCACACATCCTTGAGTCACTTTAACATTTTACAACATCTTGAATCTTATTAGTATTTCTGCTTCAGTACATGCTGGTCTGTTATCACTTGCACATGAAAGAGGCAAAGTGCAATTACTGCAGTAAATTCGGGGGAACCTAAAAGGCCCTTGAAGATGAAAACGCACTCTGAGGCAAATAAAAAGGATCATTAAAAACATCTATTTTTTGGGGACATTTAATAGGTTTTAAAAAAAGACCTGTTTTGACATCACAGGGTCTTTGCCAAGGTCGATCTAGTAAAAACAGATTGATGCTGTTATGCTGTACAGGCAATAAAAAGGAAGTAAACATTATCACATAATGAAAAGTTGCACCCTTTGTTGTAATTGTTTTCTAGCTGATTCCTTGTTTGGAGCACAGATGAAATAAAATACTCTGGAATCAGTTTTAAAGTATTAAAATAAAGTAGGCGAACACACAAAACAAAAATAAATGGCAGCGACAATGCAGCAAAAGCAGGTTTTATTGGCCTGCTTTGAATGCTTTGTCTTTTTGATGAAGGACATCATGGATCAGGTAAACTTTAATAACAATAGAAGGGTATTGTGTGCACTGATGCTCCTCATACAGTGCTATTTTTAGCTCTGCCTGCCATTGTGGCAAGATGCTCAGTCAGGTAGCTCGAACAAATGTTCATTGGGCCACATAACAAAGAAACGATACTGATCCCCTCTCAAAAAAAAAAATGGAATTCAATATGGTTCATTCCAGGATGTTTTTTTTCTGGATTGCAGCAGCTTAACCTAAATAACCTACATTTCTTTAATGGTGTGTCTCACTTCAAATGTACCCTCTCAGAGTAGACTCAGAGTAGAGAGTGGTTTCCAGCAGGATTTTGGTTTCTGGAACTCTCTTGACTGATTACGTCTCTCTGTTTGTTCCAGGACAAAAAGAAATACCTTGACGTCATCCACAGCTACATGGAGGTCCACGGCACCGTGCACGGCACCAGCACCGTGCACCTCCCGAGCTACGTCAAGAACCATGGCATCCTGAGTGGCCGAGACCTGCAGTTCCTCCTCCGGGAAACCAAGGTGAAATTGTCTCACATGGAAAAATGAACCTGCAGGGAAATGAAGGTGTGAGAGTGCGGTACTTATTAGACAGCTATGAAAGCCACAAACCAACTCCCACGCTTTTCCCTTTGACATTTTTAAATGACCAAGAAACTGTGTCCCAGCTAACCTGCAGAATATTGAGGAAACACTGTATGTTTATCACCCTATTTTCTATGTGCCAAAGACTGTGAAACCTGCTCTGAACCTTCCTGTAATAGTATCCAGTGGCTGAGACACAGTTTACCTAATTCGAAATTAGCCATGCCCGACCCTCTGTGTCTAAATACAAAGATGGCTCACTTGCAGCCTTCATTTTGAAGCACATTTCAGTGCTAAAATGTAACTCAAGACAAGTTGGAGAGCAAAAATTTGATTCCTAAAGTTAGATGTTGTTTGGGTGAAAAGAGACCCTCTTCTGAAAGAGCCTTGATCTGGCTGTAGTTTGTCTGAGTCTGTCCTCAGTCCAGCCGTCCTCAGAAGCATTTCTCCATTCACGTCATGACTTGTCCCTTCCTCTTACTACTCAAACCACTCTCATTCACAAAGGCAAGGACACAGAGACTGCAGCCAGGCTGGATTGTACCGCGTGGAGCGATCTCTTCTGAACACACACTTTACATGTTCACAGAATGTGTGTTGAGCTGTTAAACATAAATAGCTTTGTTGTATGGCAGTATTGAAAGCTGTGAAGTGGAGAGCATGCTCCCTCAAACTGATTCAAGACTTTCCATCTGTTAAAAAACCTTTTTTTTTATCGATTCAAATGCAGGAAATACAAAAGTAAAAGCTGAGCAGAAACCGAATAATAAATGCAAACACATTTAGTTATTCACGATACCTGAAACAGATAAGTTTAATCTTTTTATCGGATTCATCTGGTATGAAATGACTGATACTAGCAGGTTTTAACAGCTCTAGCTAGCTAGCTAGCTAAATGGCTAACATTAGGCTCCACACGTTGACTGACTACGGCTGACTTTCATACGGTTTAATTTTAAAACTGGAGTGCGGAACTTTTACATGCAAATGAACGTCCATTACATTCAAACCCTTGCCAAACAAGTGCACACATTTCTGATTAAGCCTATCAGTGCCATGTAAATCTCTCTGTATTCAGTGTACAGAGTTTCTATATCTAGTGTCAGAGGCGACATTCAGGCGATCTAGTATTGATGTTTTTTTCTGCCAAACAGCATGATTGGTTTACCACAGCTGAAGGGGGGAGAAACCGTAGCAATATCAGCAGCTCAGCATGGCAGAGCCTGTACATCATAAGCACATGTTGTTGATAGTGTTGTGTTAGAAGGGGGAGACATAAGTTCTGCACTGCTGATTTAAAAGTAGAACCCTGTTAATATGCCTACATCATATTGTGCTAAAAGACTACGGTTCCACGCAAAAAGTCAGTATTCTCACCATTTCATGATCCATTCAGAATACATGGAAATAAACGGCATTGTTCTTGTTTTGCAGTGTAGAACTAGTTAGTCCTGGAATTGGTCCTGGTGTTATGGGTGCTATCACACATAACCTGTTTGGTTCAGTTAAGAAGAACCCTTGTGCGTTTGCCTGGTTTCTTTAAAACTGTCCAATCAACGAGTTACCTGAACATCTGTATAACTTCAAGCTGAGGTTTTTCAGGTTTTTAGGATGAGGACTAATGTATGTGTTTGAGTACAGTTGGCTGGGGATTCCCCTGATCTAATGCAAGAGTAAGACAGAGCTGCTAACTTTAGCTAAAACTCTGATAGCATCCAAGACCAGCTTCCACACAGTGAGGAAACACTACATAGCGTATGTGCTAGCTTTTTTAAAACCTAACCTGTAACCCTACAAACTAATGTAGTTATGCACACACAGACATGCTAACATTTGCAGCTTATGTTAGAGCAGACAAACACGGTTTAATCCATTCATTTAAACTTTTGCTTATGTGTTTTGTTAATGCTAAAAAAGACATCACCCTCCAAACTCTTTCAATTAGTCTTTTTGGAGCCTCATGCACACATGTTGCTTAGCTGCACAATCGTTGTTTCATGGAAGGTGTTTAGCAAACTATAAATCACTTGTCTTAGGAGAAAGCAGTGATTTTTCACTGCCCAGTGCTGTATGGGAATGGAATTAAAATTACTTGGTGCTGAGAAACCTGACAACAATGTCCGCTGAAGGTGAAAACCATCATTAGTGCTGGCAATGAAAGATGGAGTCTGTCTTTTGGCTCCAGTCATCATCCTTTTCAGATGAATAAGGTAGAAGAGAGCTTCGATTTCTTTAGCCTCTGACACCAGATGCTTTCCCATCAGATGAAGAAGGGAGGCAGAGAGGAGAGAGACATCAGACAAGAGCTGGGGCAGGGATAAAAAGTGCAAGAGAGGCATAGATAATGATTCAGACAGTTATAGAAAAAAGATGGATTGAGATTTAAGCCCCCCTTTGTACTGAAAAGACTCATTGCTTCAGCCAAAAAACAATTCTGAGCACCTAAATCCAAGAAACCCAGTCATGCTTGAGGCACTGACAGAGAAAAGCAAAGGTGTATAACAGTGGAGCAGGTCATTAAAATGTTGAAAAAGAAATAATACTGTAAACTTTGTGCCAGTACAAAGAATGGAGTGAATTTTGATTTGCTGGATTCATGTAGCCTGGCAGGTTAACACTCACCGGGGATACATACATATATCATTACACGTTGTTCTGCAGGGAGAACCCAACAGGGGAACGGCCAATTAAATACCACAAAACCCCAAGATTTTAGCCGCAGTGTTGTTTAAGAGCTTACAAGCAAAGCAGGAGGTGTTGTAGGCACAGTTTTCCTCTTGCTTCTTAAACAACACATTTACTGTTACAATCAGACTGCCTGAGCTAATTAGCCTCGTGGGATTTAACTATTGACAGAGTGTACTGTAAAAATACTGTGCATGGAAGCGCTTCTGTGAAAAAGAGGAGTATGTTGCCGTGGATGTCTTGACATTTGATTTTCTCTCAAACTAAATTTCCTGAAATAAACTCTTGACGTGCTGTGCTGTGTCAGGGGAATAGTGTCAATGATCAAACCGCTGAAGTGTGGCAAAGCTTTACTGCGTCATGTTGCAAGCTGACAGTCAAAGGTTTTAGATTTTTCTGCCTGCTTCTCTTCCATCTCGTATATCTGCTTTAGTCAGTCTGTTTAATTGCCTCCTACTGTCTGCCTCTGGTTCGTCTCGCATGTGTTTCTTATTTTCAAATTCACATTTTCTCTATCCCACTGCTCCACACTACATTACATATTAAGATTTGTATATAAGACAAGGACAAAGCTTTCCTTTTGTCTTTTAAATCATTACTGTCATCATATTCTGCTCATTAGAAAACAAACACAACCCATGGCAGCTGCTGGAATTAGAAATACCAAGAACAAACGTAATTAACTTCTTGGCTCATTAAACTCAGCGACTGCCATGTTTTAGGCGATGTGGCCTGGGCTGGGGCTGAGGCAGAGCCATGAAACGCCAGACTCCTTGTGTTGGAGCACAATAGTGAGCTGACCACAATTTGCTTCACATCCTTCAGTCTGATCAGCTCATAAAACCTGAATTTACATGTGAGTTTGAGCTCAGAGGTAGAGGCTCCTCATTGCATCTCGTGTTCATCAGCTTGTGTGCTTTGCAAGCGCCTCACAGCGTCACGGACATTGTGTTAAGTCCTTATCTTTGTCACCTTTTCTGTTGATACAGTTTCTTTAGTTGGATCTCTATGTGGCCAATAACTGCCCATTGTCTTTGTGCTCTAACTTTCCTCAGAAGCAAGAATAACACTGCTGATGTAGGAAAATTTTATGATGCAAGTAACACGATATGAAAAACACTGGGGTCGTTTAGTGTTTCCATGCTAAAAGATCAAAGTTAAATTTGGCCTCCTAACAAAGGATGTACTTTGGAGTACTATTGCCATTATTGTGTTGCCTGTAAAATGAAAGCATATTTATTGTACATTTTAGGATACAGAAAAGCAAATATAGTACTTTTCACTGCACTACATTTACGGTGTTTAACCAGCCAATTAGCTGTAGTTAGTAGTTACTATAAAGTTAAATAGAGAATGGTATAGTTGTAACCTTTCCACAACAAAAAATGATTCAAGGATTCATACTTGTATTTGTAAATTGTAGTATTGCTTCTTTTACTTAAGTAACCCTGAAACCAGATGGAAAGAGGAGTTATAATACATATTTATGACACTTGTCTGATATGGTCTGGGACATTATATTGACATGTGGGTCATTATTTTTACTGGCATTTGGATGTGCGTCCATGCAGTGGGTCAGGTTGAGGATGCAAATTTACACGAAGGCGGGACGTTTTAAAGGGCGGGACAAATCAATAGAACAGCAGCTCTGATGCGAAGCTTTGGATCTCATGAGCACAATGTCCTTGATGTACAGCACTAAGCCTTGCAATGTACGTGAACATGAATACACAAATCAGCTTTAATGCACTCTAATAAAGAGCTTTCAGGTAAAAGCTACAACTCTTGATTGATTTCTCTTTTTGAATTTGTAACATTCACATCGGAGACGCAGGCATCATTTCTGCATTTCTGCCTTTGAGTCCTTCAGTCTTATGGATCACTGCTTTGAGAGCTCTCTCTGTCTCCTCTTCATCCCCTCCCCTACTCGCCCTATAAATAGTGGCCGACTGTTTCTCAGCATTGAGGGGCTTTCACATCCACACACACGGACACACAAACACACAACATACATATGCAGAAGGAGTATGCTTTGCTGCCACCTGTTGGCAGAAGTCTCTTGCTAACAAGACTGTAGGTTTTAGTTGTATTCACATAGGGGCTAGAAGAGCGTAATTCACAACCCAGGTTAGATTTTTTGAAGACTGTACAGACTTACTTCATGATACAGTGCTGCGTTGTGTGTTGTGGGAGTATGTCATCTGTCTCACCTGTCATGAATTGGCAGGTGTGTATATGCACATAGATACAGAACAAACACACGCACACAGACTAGCCATTGTAGCCAGCCAGCTCTGGCCCTCCAGTAAATATGCCACTTGCCCAGTCCCCCCCACCACCACCACCGCCACCATCTCCACTTCCATCCCTCCCTGCTCGCTCACTCGTTTCTGGAGGACTGTCTCATACTCATGTTGAAAAGCTGCCTCTGGTTGCAGCACACTGCTACTGACTCTCAAATATTTGCTCTTCCCATCCTGGAGGAGTGAACTTGTTATTACAGCGCCCTATAGTTTTCTATATGTACTGTACATACTTGATGTGAGTAGGACTATGGGCTTTTCAGAAAACCCACAGAACAAACAATATGTACAGTAAACATAGAGAAGAAGCCTTTGGTTACTATGCACCACAGAGCTTGACTTTGTCTACCATCTAAATTCAGGTTAAACACTTTTAGTTTCTCCCTCAACATTGACTGAACATTAAGCGCTCATCTTTTCACCTATTTTTATCTTTACATATGTTTTTTATTTCTCTTATTAAATGGTATCTAGCGTTTAAAGGATAGGTTCACATTGTTTACTTGTATCCAGTCCTCCTGTTCAAATGTCCCTTCCTAACATGCTTCCAGTGTAAGTGATGGAGGACAAAATCCACAGCAGAATTATTTTATGAGCTCTTTTTAGGGCCTCACTGTCAATAAACACAAGCCTGCTTGGGGCATTTTGTCTTTTTATTGCATAGTGACAGGTGAGGAGAAACGGGGAGAATTGAACCAGACAGATGAGGCCATTTTGCATGCGCTGTAACCAGTCGTTCACCAAGGCGCTCCCCAAGCCCACTTCTTTAACCGTAAGAGAAATAGGCTTATACCCGGAGGGTCGGCGGCCCGATCCCTGAACCAGTAAGATAAGTTTGGTTGGGGAAAGTGAAAGAGCAGCCTTCTTATTCCTCCACTCGGGTGAAGCTTTGCTGAATGAATACAGTTCAAACACAAAAACAAGAAGAAATAACACAGTTAATTACACCAATATAAGAAATATTCTTCTACTCAAATGTCTCTTAATCATTTAGAATTACCGGATGATTTCAGGATTTGCATATTCTAAAAATGATTCAAGGAAAAGGAAAACACTCTGGGCGAACCAGTCACAAGTGTTTTCATTTTAACTGGCCACAAGCCACAAAGTTTGGGAACCACTGATTGAAGTGGAAGAAACATGTGTTAACTAAAGATCAGGGTCAGTATTTTGAGATTAAGTGATGCGGCTCATGTGGTGTTCATGGTGTTTTAAATGAGTAGTTTCAGATTTGTAAAGTGTTGTAAACATCTTTAATCGAGTTACTGTAGTTGTTTTTCTAATTCTCATCGGGCTGCCGAGATATAGTGTGTTTCCAACTGCAAAATATCCACAGTACTCCCTCTTTACCAAACTCCTAGCGGCCTATGGGAGGAATAAACATTAGAGCGATGTCTTCATATTATTCTGCTTGTTTTTCCTCCCTTGTTTCATAGAGAAAAAGTGCTGCCTCAAATGCAGTTTGTGCTGATAACATGGGAGGTTTGTTTCAACAAGGGCTAACTGCTGCTATCAGCAAACAGCAGAAACTCCTCAAAGCAGCCGGTGAAATTTTCTACCTCTCCACTTCCACCTGCTGTTTTTTTTTATTCTGATTATGTCAGTAGCTCCTTCCCACCTTCAGTGATGAACCCATGCTGGCAGCTTGAAAAAAGTGTGAACACAGACTTAAGTTGGTGTGGCTTTAATTAAAGGCAGAGTTAGCACAAATGTTCTCAGGTTATACTTTAATTCATGTTTATCCTGAGTTCAACCCCTCTCTTGGTTTTGATTAAATATAACATGCATGTGGAGGCTAATCATTTTGGTGTCCTCTAAATTTTCTCTCCACTGCAGTTGTTTGTGGGTCTGTCCTTCCCCTACGAGGGACCTGCCCCCCTGGAGGCCATTGCCAACGGCTGTGCGTTCCTCAACCCCAAATTCAACCCTCCAAAGAGCAGCAAAAACACAGACTTCTTCAAGGGCAAACCCACTCTGAGAGAGGTGAGCGAAGGAGATCTTTGGCGACACAAACACAAGTTTTTACTCTTTCCTTGCTCTTTTTCTCAAGATATTACTTTTTAGTTTTTCTTCCTAACCTCTACTCTTTCGTGGTTGTCCGCAGCTGACCTCTCAACATCCGTATGCTGAGGTGTACATCGGTCAACCCCACGTGTGGACGGTGGATATCGAGAACTCTGCCGAGGTGGAGCGGGCCATCCGCTCGATCCTCAGCCAGAAGGTAAACACGGGAACACCTTTCCTTAAAAAATGTCTGCGTTAATATAAAAACGATGGCGTAAAAAGATGGGGAACATTTATGAGATGACTGCCTCATAATTATTACTGTTTTGTGGGATTCAGTCAGTAAAATTCGGCAATTTGGCAATTTCTTATTGCAAAGTAATGCTGCTACTCATGTTGATTTTCATAGAATATCAAAAAATAGTAAAAATAAATAATGTCCCATATCATAGTTTCTTAAAGCATAAATTGACATATTTAAAGCCTTGTTTGGTCCAATAACCAAAAACCAAAGGAAAAGCAGCAAACCTTCACATCAAAGAAGCTGGAACTGGATTTCTTTTCATTGCTTGAAAAAAAATTAGTTGATTATCAAAATGGTTGCTGATTAATTTTCAGTCAGTTGACTAATTGATTAACTTACTGATTGCCTCAGTCGTAATTCAAATTTACAGCACTCTAATACATGATGTAAATACAAGTCATTCATGTAAGAGGTACACGAAAAAAGTGTTAAAATCATTTATTGTGATACATTGAATTTGAGAATGTGAAAAGTCAATTTGGCAACATTTAAAGGGGTTGAAGCTGCAGAGGCATTGAAATTCCCCGTGATGGAGTCTAGACACTGGTGGTGGTGAGATGAAAGGATGAAGAAGATCTGAATGAAAAGCAGGGAAGGCTCATGGATTATCAACATATTATCATAATTGGTTGGAACAAATGCTTGAATGGAAACCTACCCAGAGATGGAGGATGAGTGAAAGCACAGGGGAAAGAAAGGGAGATCCTGTTCCGTCTTCGCGTCCATGCATATTTAAAGGCCAGCCGCGGGACCTCGTGTTGTTTTGTGCCCCGCCGAGCGAGTCGGAACAATGGCTTGGTTCACCGGACAAGCCCACGGAGCCTCGTATGCTTTGTGATCCGTGGCAAGCCGCAGCCTACCAGGCTCCGGCTTGGCCCGCGCGCCCTCCCTCTTCCCCCCCCTCCTCCTCTCCTCTTCCTCTCAGCGCACAAAGACACAGAGAAAGCAGCGAGCGGCTTAGCAGCACTGCAAACAAAGGCTTCAGTTGGTCCTTCCTTTTTGAAGTTTTCCCCTCTGCGAATCTTGAGCCTGTGCAGGTCGACAGGAATCAAAAGGCAGACACCGGGTTGATATTTCACCAGGCTGAGCTCTCACACACACACACACACAGTGAAGTATCCTCCCCTGACACTTCTTTGTCTGTGTTTTGTGTTTGTCTGATCAGATTGAGCCCTACCTGCCCTATGAGTTCACCTGCGAGGGGATGCTGCAGAGAGTCAACGCCTTCATTGAAAACCAGGTACAGCCTGTAGATGTTACCTCAGCATACAAGTATGTCAGAATCTGAGACTTGATTATAGCTGAATGAAAGTTGGTGATTTAAATGCCAACTATTTCAGCTGCTATGAGTCAAATGCATAGATTAATAACTCTAATGTAATGGAAGTGATCATTTATAAACACTCTTTATTTTGTAGTTTAAGTGTGATTGAAGCTTTACTGTGTTAAAACCAGTGTGCAACAATCAGACAGAACATGGGGAAATGTATATATAATTTTCAAAATATACACCATGACAAAAACTATATTATTGGAATAAGATATACATAACAAAAATATAGAATAGAATATATAATAATGTATTTTGTATTTGAAGGATTTCAATCAAAGTAAGCAACAATGTCTTTTAATTATGTTATTTAGCTGTGTGCAGTAACCGATGTGTAAGTGACAATTCAGTAATTAAAAATAAGTGTATAACATAAATGCATTAGTGACCTCCTTGAACTGGAAAAAAACATTTTTGTCAGCAACATGATTACTGATTATCTTGTTAGGACAGTTTCGGTGCCTGTATTTGTTGAAATAGTTAATGCATTAATGATTTTTAATCATCTGTGTCATACCAGATGAATGGCTTGACTCACTAGAATCATGTCTGTTTGTATGAGCTTCTGTTCTTCAGTAACATAACTGTATTTCCGTCGCGTTGTGTTGTCAGGACTTCTGCCACGGCCAGGTGATGTGGCCTCCTCTCAGCGCTCTGCAGGTCAAACTGGCCGAGCCTGGTCGCACCTGTAAGCAGGTGTGTCAGGAGGAGCAGCTCATCTGTGAGCCCTCCTTCTTCCAGCACCTCAACAAGGACAAGGACCTGGCCAGGTGGGACACAAACACACGTATATACATTGAAACGTGAGCAGATACACATGCTCCGCCAGTTGTAGTTAAGTGGCCGGCCACTAGGTGGCAGCATGCCACAGGCCTGAATTAATTTGTAGTTTGTCATCAAGTGGTGAATAAAGATGAAGTGATTGAAACTGCAGTTTCATATTATTACCACTGGAGGGCCCAGTTTGTTTACTGGAAGAAGTGGGTCAAGGCTCATCACTGATGGTGGAGAACATTACTTGAGTTGAGTGTGTCCCCTCTGTCTGTCCTGCTCAGCTTGTCTGATCATTTCTCTGCTTCCTATTCAAATTTAAACATTTACAGACACAAATGTTAGTCAGTAAGCATAAAAAGTGAAGGACACTCTCTCTGCCTTTGTCTCAGGTTTGGCGTGGACTGTCAGACGGTGGAGTCGAGCGCCGACACGGTGGTCCCGGCCTATAGTGAGGTTCGCCACCACTGCATCTTCCAGTCTGACCTGCTACTGTTCAGCTGCGCGGGCTCCCACCCATCGCTGCAGCGCATCTGCCCCTGCCGCGACTACATGAAGGGCCAGGTGGCGCTCTGCAAAGACTGCCTATAGCACCAGCACACAGGCTGATGGGGTGGGGGGGCTGACAGAGGATTGGGCGGATTTTTAGGGGGTTTGGGGCATGGCTGGATGAGGTTAAATGAAATCGAAACAGCTTAACAAGTGTGTGAGTGTGTTTGCGAGACATGCAGCTATCAGTCAAACACACACGCCTGACTTTTTTGTGGGAAGCTGTCTGGACAGAAAAAACATTCATAGGACCGAGCGTCTTCATCATATTTATTGTTTCCCCCAGCTGCTGGAAGTGAAGCACTCCTGCAGCCAACCCAAGCACCCGTCAACCATCCGGTTCACCAGCGGTGGCGCTGCGAGTCCTGGAAGCAGTGTAAAAATTACTTGAATCAACAAAGGGAGACGTCTCAGACTTTAAAATTGGAGCAAACGAGCTCTCTTCTGCCACCTTGGTAGACTCCACATATCAGTGACTGCCTGCCTGTTTGTCTTCAGGTTCACCAGAGCAGCAAGGGACCAAGGAGACTGAAATGCCCCCTTCCTGACAGCCAACCCCCCCCCCCTCCATCCACCTCCCCCTGGTCAATCTGAAACTGTTTATTCTTTAGGTAGGTTTGCACTGGACTGGCATGCCTGAAGGCCCGCTCCCCCCCCCCCATACACAGACACACACATACATATACACACACACACAGGGGGACTGTCCCAGGCTTAACAGATGGTGGCTTAAGAAGAACCCAGTTTTACACTGTAACCAACTCCTCTCATCTGGTTGAACGCGATGAGAGCGGACATGTAACGTAGATATCTAGATTTTTATTCTGGACGTTTTATCATTTCCTGACACATATTCCAGAAATTAAGGTGGTCTGCATTCCCCCTTCAAAAGACAGAATAGTCCAGTCGCAGTCACTCGTGGGCACGGTCTGCCCCTTGATTTTCATACGTTTAAGTTGCACACTTGTTTTAAATGATTTGATGGTGACAAAAAGTTACAAAGAGGGTCGAGCGTGTGTGTTTCTATGAAAGGCCAGTAGTGTATGCGTAAATATTTGTTTGTTCAAAATAAGGTACTACGCACACACACTGAGCGGTGAGGATCGGGGAGTAGGTTGAGGGTCATTCTCTGTAGCTTAAGCTCTTGCGTCGGAGTCGTAGGATGCCGTGACGTTGTGTCATAGATGATAGGCTGTCGTCAGTAGCAGCGGTAACACCTCGAGGCATCGCAGGCTAGGGAGCATTAACAGCAACACGTTTTCCCAGCGCCTGCAGAGAAACATGAAAACCTTCCAGAGATGTTTTGTCTGTTTTGTCTTTATGTGCACAAAGTCAACTGTTAGAGAATACACAGCTCCACACTCCTCTCCCCATGTACCAGACAACTGCTGTAAATCCTTTCGAGCAAACTGTACGCAACAAAAAATGTGCCAACAAAGCGTTCCTGCAACGCACAACTTCGCATCTCCTAGTTTCCTTTGAATAATCGTTAGAATCTTAATTTGCCTGCAGATTTGCAAAGAAAAAAAAATTAAAATGAAAATAAAATTCGTAGTTCTTGTGGTGAATGGGGGAAAAAATGCACTACGTTAATCTATTTGCAGAGGTTTAACAAGGTATCAGTGACACTGTATATTGTTCATATTGGATTTAAAGTTTTTCTTTTGTATTTATTTTGTATACAGATCTTTATCTCTGTGTTTTGCTGGAAATCTTTGGTTTTTTTTATTTATAAGAGGGGTGTTTTCCTGCTTTTTTCCTTTTTTATAGATTTTTATTTATGGAGAGTAATTTAAACAAAAAGAATAAAAAATAAGCAAGCTTATGTTCAAGTATATGAAGGTGGGGAGGATTTGTCTACTTCTGTTCAGCTTATAGCAGTGATGTGAGGAGTAACACTCCTGTCCATAATACGGAGTTATATTTGGGCCTTTTTTTGTGTGTGTGCGCGTGTGTCTTTTCTTTTGTTCTTCCTGTCATCACTGTCTCTTGAAGATGGACAGTAGTGGACAAACGTGTCTTGTTTCATTGCGAAAGCCAGCAGGAGCCTCATACACTTTTGTGCTTTGATTTACAATCTCAGTTTGTCTCTGTTTGCACGTGTATATTCAGACTGAACGGCACGGGTCAGCTGCGGTACACTACCTGTCCTCTCTCACCTTGTCAGCTCAGACTGTTTTTAATGTTTTTTTGAAAAACTTTTTTAAACAGGTCCGTGATCTGCCGCCAAGTTAGTGTTTCTAAGAACATGATGTGCCTTTTCATGGTTGAGTTTTTTTTTTTTTCCTGCTTGTGTTTGACAGTCTGTTGTGGCATGTCAGAGGTCAGGGTTCACGTCTGGAGCCTGGAAAAGACAATTCACACACTCATGATATAACCTTCAGTCCCTCATTTAACTCCACAGATCAGATAAAGGAATCAGTTTTTTCTGATTCATTCAAGAGCCTTTCCTAAATCAGTTTCATTGTTCAGTATATTTGAAATTATTGAATTTTCATATCATTTTAATTTAATGCAGTTTAGTTTTATGTAATCAGTCCAAACCTTGTGATTTGTTACACCCCGGTTGAGTTGTTCAGGTTTGGAAAATACTGTTTGGCCATTCACTGTTAACCTTCAGTGATTTTAGGATTTAGGAAGAAAGAAATAACAGTGTGAAATGTCAGTTCAACACATGTTGCGGTCCATTCTTGAAAACATTAGGATCTTTTCAGTGGATTTACGTGCTTTCTAGTAATTGGATTACCCACTTCCAGCAGTAATTTGATTTCAGAAGCATCCATGTGAACACAAAATGTGTGTCCCTTTTCCCCAGTGAATAAATGAGCAATAACCAGTTTTTCTGCAGTATTAGAAACTCTGTATAAACTGGTGTTTTGGAGTAATCAGATTAATGCAGCACATGTACTATACTTAAAGTGGCTTTCTGGTTTTATTGCCTTAAACTGATTACTCACAGCATTCTGTTGTCTTGCATTTCAGACTCTACGTCTAAAGCAGCGATACAGTGAGAAAGGAACAACAGTGGTGTTATCCTTTAATTTAAAGGATAGGGCTGCTGATGATCTGTAGTTTTGTTATTGTCAACTGATCTGCAAATCCAAACACCATGCTAGTCTGTCTCTCAATTCTTCCTGAGTCCCCTACCCTCGGTTGCTCTCAGCCCAAAGCCTATTGGTTCCTACAGAAGATGTAAACTTTTAAAAATGGCTGACAAATATATAGAAATTTGCTAAAACTAAAGCACTGGGCACAGGAGGAAATTTTGCATTTGCTGGGCACTATTTTCAGCTGCGGATTAATACCCATTTGCTTTAGAGAATATTTCTGGCAGCAGGACGGCGTGCCCGTGTTTGTTGTTTTGAAGGAATCTTATTTGTTACAATAATATAGACTATCACCAGACTTATCCTCACCGTTGTACATGTGAGTCCAGTTGAGTTCATACTAGAAAACAAACCAACAGTGAAATGTGGCGTGGATGTTTTTTTCTCAATAAAAACATTTTAACCTCCAGTGACACATCTTAACAGAAATAAGCTCTGTCCCCTCTCTATGAGCAGCTGACGAGTAGTCTCAGACTGATTTTGTTGCAGCACTTACTTTATGTTAGTCAGACTTATTCAAAGCATGCTGTCCATCAGATTATCAGCTGTTTGGTTTCAGCAGAAATCAGCTCTGTCTGTTCCTGAAAACTGAAACACCAATGTTTTCTTCACTGTCGAATGTCTACATTGTATCCAAAAACAAAACCACTGCTACTTGTCATACAAACATTTTATCAATAATTCAGTCTCCGCCTTGTTTGAAGCTGTCCGTTAGCATCAGTGTCTGAAACACCAGGGATGATTGTGGTCCAAGCAGCAGGAGGTGAATAACGCAATGACAACATTTTTTGTTTTCAGTCCTTGATGAGTAAGAGGGATATAACTTTATTTTTAAATAAACCTTTTTTCTGTGACAAAAGGCTCTGACTCAGGTTTAATATTTGTTTTACATCACAGCAACACAGATTTCAGTATTTACACCGGCATAGTGTACTCAAATTAGAGTCCTTAAATCTGACTAAACACAAACCAACATAGTCACAAGTATGTGCGCCGGATAAACCAGTGTCACAGCACAGTGTGTACATTCAGTTACAGTCACAGCAGGAAACACAGACTTGAGGAAAAACATATGAATACTCATGAAAAATGCGTCCTCCTTCCCGCACCTGCGGTCTATGATAATCAACTTTCTGACAGCTGAAACTCCACCTGATAATTACATTCATGTTTTACAGTCGCTAAACACTGAGCAGAAAGATTAAGGCTTTGGAGTTAAAAATGAGCATGGATGGAATGGAAAGAAAATGATTAATGATTTCAAGGTACATATTTTAGTAAATAAGAGCTTCCTTTCCAATGCCTGTGAACAGTTTTGTATCCACTGTGATACAGCAAACTCAGAATTGAGCTTTTACATATTCACATTGAAATTTCAAGGTAAAAGCAAACACCATTAAAAAGGAAGATAAGCCTGCACACACAGGTATAAAGAGCTGCAGAGGTGCTGCTTTGATATAGTTACCTAGGGAATATGAAATGCATCTGAAAAGTGTCTTTCCATCTAGGTCATTTTGGTCGTTTCATGTATTAAAACTGCCTCTTTGCTCATGAGTTACACCTCCAACTGGCAGACATACTGGTGGAAAGTGAAGTGAAGCTAGTGGAGAGTCTACTAACACCAGACCTAAATAACATCTTGTTTATTTAAAAAAAAAAAAAAAAGGCTTTTGCCTTTAGTCATAAATAAATCTGAGTAACCTCAATCAACATACTTAATTCAGCAGAAAGATTAGGAGTTGCCCTTTTAAATCCCAAAACAAACAGCAGCTCCAGATAACAGAGGACACATGTTGACTCTGGACACAATATCAAGAAGATAAATATTGACTAAAACCATCACTGGCCAGTTTCACAGATTTGGAACCAATAACGTGTTCATCACTGGTTACAACGATCAGGCTTCATGTACAATCACAGTCAAAGTGATGCTTAACAATGCAGTGGCTCATAAAACTGTAAGTTAGCGGACATGATGACCCTACTGGACATCAGTTCAACAGACATCCAGTTTCAGTGTAAACTTCAGATCAGTTTGGGCTAACTCTGGACAGTGGTGGATTCATGCACACAGTATTTCCCATCTTTTTTCCCCCGCCAATCACTCTGATTAGCTCTGCAGTTGGCCAACGTCTCCTTATCAGTAGCCTCCCCACCGAACCATCAGTACTGAAAGAGCTGGAAAGTGGAATCCTTCACAGTATGATACTGAAATATTTCATAGTATGCACTGAAAGTGACTGAAGAGTTTTCTCAGTCACAGCTGGTAGACAAACGCGTCGTATCATGAATTTATGCCAAAGAAACCATCTCGCACACTGTCAGAGTTCATTATAGACAGGCACCAAATTATTTTCATTACACCACACTTACTACACAGAGGCCAAGCTACCAAAACCCTAATCTAACCGAATCTATGATCTAGCAAACTAGTCTCCATCCTCTTCTTTATATAGATGCTTGTGGGGAGAACTGACTGCGCTGGAACCAAAAGGCAGGAAACCAGGGAGGGATTATTCCGAGACATTTTTTTTTTTTTATACCAAGACTCTCTATCACATTCAAACAAAAAACAACCAACTAGTTGGTGTCCTGTTGAGATCAACCACTCCAGCCTAGAGGGAATTTATAGCTCTTAGCAATTGAAATCACGTGACCAGCGCTTACCCTAATTCACAAACAAACTGTGTCTCTAAAAGGTCTAAAACCATCCATGATGCTAAACTTTTCACCAACCTCTAAGCTAACTACCCAAAAGTATTTTAATTAGCATTCCTTCAACATACACAAACAATGACCAGAAACCTAATTGGACAAACCAACAAACAAGCTCCCTTCTGTTACAGGAGGTAGCAACACCAACCAAGCCCAGTTAAACTTCAAAATGTGACGACAAGCTCCTGTTTGTCACAAACTGGCTCACCTATCAAGGAGGGAGTCCATGCAAGAGCTTAACTCAACAGATGTCATTTATTGAATTAGGCCAACTAAATTAAACAACCTATGGAAGTAAGGCAGTGAAAGTAAGTGCAATTGAAGTGTTGAAGAAGAAGACATCAGCTGAAGAGAGCACGTTAGTCTGGAAAGCTCAGGTGAGCTGACGAACCTCTGCTGTCAGAAAATAGTAAGATTAGCCAGAACCAAACACATCCATCCGTTTCTAAACTTACCTATTAAGTTTACCTTACCTAAAGGTATTTCATTTGGAGTTTTTATACATTTTTGATGTGTTTGAGATTTACTTCCTTAGTGTATTGGTTGTTGCAGCCTTAGGCTCTAGTATAAACTTTACAAAGCATAAAGTATAATGCTTCATATTGTGAATTTAATGCCTGACAAAGATCCATGGTGGAAATGTTGCATCTCTAATGAACTCATTGCTGACAGTGTGCAGGAACTGAACTTTCTATTTTATCTTACATGTTAAAAAAAACTTTGTTTGACCTGTAAATGTCCTTAGAGTCGGTGCAGAGCTTTGTAGAAGACCTATTTCAAAGCGCTGTGTTCAAAGACTTCCAGCTGTATTAGATGCAAATACACTCACCTAAAGGATTATTAGGAACACCTTTTCAATTTCTCATTAATGCAATTATCCAATCAACCAATCACATGGCTGTTGCTTCAATGCATTTAGGGGTGTGGTCCTGGTCAAGACAATCTCTTGAAACTGAATGTCAGAATGGGAAAGAAAGGTGATTTAAGCAATTTTGAGCGTGGCATGGTTGTTGGTGCCAGACGGGCCGGTCTGAGTATTTCACAATCTGCTCAGTTACTGGGATTTTCACGCACAACCATTTCTAGGGTTTACAAAGAATGGTGTGAAAAGGGAAAAACATCCAGTATGCGGCAGTCCTGTGGGCAAAATGCCATGCTAGAGGTCAGAGGAGAATGGGCCGACTGATTCAAGCTGATAGAAGAGCAACTTTGACTGAAATAACCACTCGTTACAACCGAGGTATGCAGCAAAGCATTTGTGAAGCCACAACACGCACAACCTTGAGGCGGATGGGCTACAACAGCAGAAGACCCCACCGGGTACCACTCATCTCCACTACAAATAGGAAAAAGAGGCTACAATTTGCAAGAGCTCACCAAAATTGGACAGTTGAAGACTGGAAAAATGTTGCCTGGTCTGATGAGTCTCGATTTCTGTTGAGACATTCAGATGGTAGAGTCAGAATTTGGCGTAAACAGAATGAGAACATGGATCCATCATGCCTTGTTGCCACTGTGCAGGCTGGTGGTGGTGGTGTAATGGTGTGGGGGATGTTTTCTTGGCACACTTTAGGCCCCTTAGTGCCAATTGGGCATCGTTTAAATGCCACGCCTACCTGAGCATTGTTTCTGACCATGTCCATCCCTTTATGGCCACCATGTACCCATCCTCTGATGGCTACTTCCAGCAGGATAATGCACCATGTCACAAAGCTCGAATCATTTCAAATTGGTTTCTTGAACATGACAATGAGTTCACTGTACTAAAATGGCCACCACAGTCACCAGATCTCAACCCAATAGAGCATCTTTGGGATTGGTGGAACGGGAGCTTCGTGCCCTGGATGTGCATCCCACAAATCTCCATCAACTGCAAGATGCTATCCTATCAATATGGGCCAACATTCCAACATGCTTTCAGCACCTTGTTGAATCAATGCCACGTAGAATTAAGGCAGTTCTGAAGGCGAAAGGGGGTCAAACACAGTATTAGTATGGTGTTCCTAATAATCCTTTAGGTGAGTGTATATTCACAATTGTGTGGCAGGTACCTCTTCTGGTCAGCAGATGGCGCAAGTTGTGAATGTACAATTTATATTCTTGGGTTTGTCATTTTAGCTTCAACAACAATAAAAACAAAAGTGGCAACCTGAAGTAAACTGAGCTGGTTTCTGCCATTTTCCTTCTGTCACATTGTCAGTGAATTGGAGGCTGAGACAAGTCTGGACTCTCTTATGTCACTCAATGCCAAAACTGCTGATTTTTATCCTCCAGAACTGTAAGCTGGCGTTGGCATGAGGTTGCTGAAACAGTGTCCACTCTAGGCTTCCCGGCTCCAGCCACAACAGTCTAGATAAATAAGCAAATCACGTGTGTGTGTGTGTGTGTGTGTGTGTGTGTTTTTATCCCGATGGGGACTATAACTTGAATGCAGTGATGGGGTTTCGTCACTAGTGTCACTTTGTGAGGGTTAAGACTTGGTTTTAGGGATCAGGTTGAAATTAGGTCAATGCTAGGGTTAGGCATGTAGTTATGATGGTTAAGGTTAGGGTAAGAGGGTAGGGAATGCATTATTTCAATGAGATGTCCCCATGGGCATAGAAGAACAAAAATGTGTGCAGGCTTGTTTTAATTTATTTGTGGGGTCCAAAAACCAGGATTCCACTATACTTGTGGAGTCTGACAGCTTTGTGGGAACCAAAATGCTGCACCCCACAAGTTTAAAGGTCTGTTTGACAGTTATGACTTGATTTGAGGGTTCAGGTTAGAATTAGATTAAAGTTAGGGCAAGGGTTAAGGTTTGGCATGTAGTTGTGATGGTTAAGGTTTGGGTAAGGGTACCCACAAAGATAGTAACACATGGCTGTGTGTGTGTGTTTGTGTGTTTGCTTATATACCTGCTCCCTATGGCAAATGGGCCTTGTATTGATATATCCTCTCAAGTCATATGAAGGTAAAACACCATTAATACTCCACTGCTACATCAGCTACATCAATCAGTTTGATCTGCCACACTGCAACCTTTTATAGCACAGCTGAGTAAAGGCCTCTAGGAACCATGGGAAAAATAAACTGCTGTGTTTTGACAGGGCAATGAGGTGTAACTGAGGTATTGTACATCAACTTGCTGTGCAAAAATCTGTCTCTCAGGTTCCATAAGTCTCCTGTACGCTGCAGTACAAGCATGTCTCTGTACTATTTGGTCATTGCTGTCTCTTCTGTCACTGAGTCAACCTTTATTTTTAAGCAGGTTTAACTCCCTTTCACAGTTAACTTCCTCAATCTTGTTTAAATGTGGAGGCATGAAAGAACAGACTGCCCCATACACTGTTAAAAGACAGATAAAGGTATTATATGTACACCAAATTGTAAAACACTTAAAAGGGGCCAAGAATTTGATTCGCCCTCACTCAATATCAGCCTGGATGCTCAGTTCAAATCTTTGAATGGAAGGACTATATAGACACAGACGTCTCCACTGGCACTGAATGTGATTGTCTGTGGAGAGACTGTAGGGACAGTAATCCCCATCCTTCTCCTGTCAATCAGTCAGCCAACCCGCTCCCAAACCTTCCTCTTCGCCCTCTTTCTTTTACTCTGTGGTCCGTCACTCAAAACGCTCGTAGTTCCTGGTTTGTCGGACCCGTGGGACCATGTCCAGCAGCAGCCTGCGGTGGGAGAAGAGGGGGCTTTTTAGAAAGCATAGGAAAAACTGAGAGTCGATTCAAACACTTTGATCCCCTTAAATAGAAAAAAGACATGCATCCCATTCTGACTTATTGAGACGCTGCAGACAGTCTTGAATTAATTTCAGGTTGTGGCTGTAACTCTAGGCCAAAAATGTCACTGCATCAGCAGCGATGAATGCTTCAGATTAAAATCAAAAACTCTTCTGAGGGCTCATGAGAAAGATGGTTCCCCATCCTCCATGACTCCATGTTTTTTTGTATAAAGTAATAATTCAATTCAATGTTTGTACAGAATCGGCATGGTTTCTGAAGAAAGTTTTTTTGTGTAGGCTTAATTTTAATTATAAAACAGCTGTTTGTGGAAGGCAGTTTGAGATCAGTAAACAAGACAAGCCAACTGTATAGATAACTGTATCATCTGCATACAAGTTTATATTTGCTGGATGGATGTTCCTCCCTATATTGTTTATAAAAATTCTTATTTAACCAAGCTTTAATAATAACTTGTGATGAACGCCTTGTCAACAAATGTAGCTTGGCAGTGTAGTTTCTTTTGAATTGAAGTGATGACATCATTAATTACAAATTAGGCTGAATAGCTGTACAATGTAAAGTCTCCAGAGCTACATATATTACAAAAACCCTTGCAGGACTGAACATTAAATCTTCATATATTCAGATTTACTACCAGCAAACTGTACATATTGTCACACAATCATTTATAAACTGTTCTTCTAATAACTTCTAGTAACCACTTACTTGACTCCATAGGCGAGGATGATAAGACCTATCAGGATGCCTATTGTCCCATCCAGGTACCACACCTTGGGTTCATGCTTGAACACTTCAGCACTGATGAGGATGGAGAACCCCATAATTCCCCCCACTAGTGAGTTGAATCCTGGGAGGAGAGAACATTTTTCTGTTGGAAAACATCTTATATAAAGTCATCTGATAAGGGTTTTGTAGGGTCAGTGTTGGATTTCATTCCCTTATGTGTTTAGGCTTCCCACAGACACCTGCTGAGAGTACAGTGGACGTGAAATATTGACTGCTTTGGCCTCTTTCTTTATCATATTACAGCACAGGGTTGTAAAACGAGATGAAGTTGTAGTTCCCTTTATGCTACTCACAAAACGCAAACATTATACAAAAATTATACAGTAGATGGGTTGAGAAGCTGCTCTGAAGTCTTGTAGTATAACAGCAGATACTTCTATATCTCTTGCCAGACAGCAGCAGGTTGAACCAGTTGTGGCTGGGTGGGTACTGTCCTTTAGGCCCCGTGTTCACGGCAGCGTCTTTTTTCAATTCATTGCAATGGGAGCGCCGCGTTTGTGCAAGCTGGTAAAAACGGCAGGAGCGTGACGAGGCACTGAGAGTCTTTTCCACGCTGGGCGCTGAGCGTTTTTTTCCGGTCGCCGAGAGTTGAAAAATGTTCAACTTTGGGAAAAACGCTGCGCTCGTCACTGTCAACAGTTAACAGTTTTTACTGTTGGTTTGACCATTTTAATCAGCTTGCGTGTTAGTGGGCAGGAGAAGGAGGGAAATATGGTCTGATAAACCAAAATTGGGACATGGGAGGGCTTTGTAGCTCAGTGGCGGCTCCTGACAAATTTCTCAGGGGGGGCAATTGTTGCGATGATGGCTAAGGTGACCAGTTCAATGGTCTAATTCTGCTATAAGACAAGGATTGTTCCTTAGGCTACATACTGTACAGTATTTGTGCTACATACTGAAGTTCATTGTCAATGCCTACAATGAATGAACAGTCCACAGTTAAGATCAACAGATCTTCACACCTTTGGATGTAAAGGCAACTACTTTAGCATTAATGAAAAAAAGGATGACACTCACACTCATCTGATTTATCTGTGACAAACCTTTTATTTAGGAACAACAAATTCAGAATAAAGCGCAGTATTTACACATAAACAACAAGGCATGTAAGGGGAAATATAAAAGGTATATTCTATTGTTTTTGGTTTATTTTCTGTGTTGCTTTCCTACTTCTTTTTACCCTCCTCTGACAAGATGCCAGTGGTGGTGGCCACATCAGGCTACCTCCTCTTTCTTCTTCGGTTTCTGGCAATAAAACAAAAAAACAACACATCAGATTATTGTTACTGGTTAAGTGCAGCTAACTTTAAATTGACTCCACCAACACATATAAAACATGGCTTAATAACAATCACATTTAACATAAGCATAAAATTCGGCTTAATAATAACTATCAAGATTTTTTTTTACAGTCACAGTTATTAGCTTAGCCTATGGCATTTTACAGAGCATAAATTAGCCTTCTGGCTAGCGGACTTTTCCTCTCCTCATAGCTTAACAAATTACATGTATTATTTAAACTGTGTCTTACTCACCGCTGGTAAAGTCGCTGCATCTCCCGACACCACGGTTGAATTTTCAGCATGAATGTACATTTTGTACAGCAGCTGGTCGTAGTGAGAGCAACAAGCTGGAGGAGTGCAGAGCTATTTTCAGGTGGCAGAAGCGTAGCTGTGCTGCTTGGTGCGTGGCGTAAACACGTTAGTGCTAGCCCTCCCGTAACCCATAGAGATTGCATTGCAGCGGCCGCAGCTCGAAAAAAACTGCCTTAACATGAAAGTCTATGAGAGAGATCTGGGCGATTTACTACCAGCCTGAAATTGCCTCAAAAGAGGCGGGACTCCACGGAACACGACTTGATGCTGTTTGGACAGCGATATTCAGAGACAAACTGTCAAAAACAGTCACAGCTAACTAACAGTGTGGTAGAAAGTGTGAGAAAAATCCCCGGCTTGGTGATGCGTCGCCTGGTCGCCCTAATGAACAAATTAAGCCGCCCCTGTTGTAGCTGCCTGGAATGTTTCTGTAAACATGGTCCAGTGTATTTGTTCTCGTGGGGATGTGGACATGCTGGTGGAATTTCGGTCTTTTTTGATTGAAATCACCTGCTACAATAGGAAATACCATCAGGTTGTTTTGTTGTGGGACTTCTGATAACCTCATACAGTGCAGTGCATTTCTTGGAGGAATGTAAACAGCAGTAACTAAACCACTGGTGAATTCTCTGGGCAGATAATATGGTCAACAATGTATAGAAAGTAGCATGTGCAGTGTACAGCGTAAAATGAACAGTGGCATGACAGATTCTTCAAATGCCTCTAATACAGATTCTTCAAATGCCTCTAATACAGAAAGGTCATCTCGTTAAATCAAAATGCAACTGCCCACGGCCTTGTGTAGGTGACGAACCGTTGCATAACGACCAGTATCTGTTACTCCATGGAAGGAATGTAAGCATGAGTGCGACACCAATGTATCACACTGGAAGTCACACTGTGACACTATTACTAGGAAATGACTAGAAAACCCTTCACACATATATGTGTATGGAAAGACTGACAGTAAATGGACAATGCAGGACAGTTAATTAAAGAAACATACGTATTACTAATGAATTAGTGTAATAAACAAGCTCATCTTTCCAAATTTAAAAAAAACTATGCAACTTTAAAGATTATGGTCCTAAAAAGGAAGGGCAGTACAATGTCCTGCAAGTCTGCTGTGTTTGAGCATGTGTGTACCCCTACCATCAGTGATGAGGACTTTGCTTGTGAGCACTTTGCCAAGCATAAACTTGATCACAGCCAGGAAGATGCACACCAAGCCACTGACGATGGATACACTGAACAGGAATGCATCCTGTGAGAAGACAGACAGAAAAACAGAGGGAGTTAGAGTCATGGTTTGCTTCTATTTTATGATCCGCTCTGTCTTCACCACCCTGTCACGTTACTGGTGTCCCTCAGGGTTTAATCCTAGGTCCTCCCTCAAAGTGCACCACTGGTTGATCCACAAGACTTTGAGGGCCAACAGTTTGTATGTTGTCAGTTATTATAATAAAAAAGTCATAAAGAGGAAAGCAATACTATAACTCTACTAAAACTTTTACAGTTTCAATTTGATTTACTCACTAAAATCTCTCTAAACAATGTCCTGTGACTTACCAAAAGTGCCAAATTGCCAAAGTCCAGATGAGAGAAGATAAAAATGTTTATGGATACATCTAGGTCACTTTCAATTAATACTATGTGTGATCACAGCAATGAGCTTTACAAGGAGGTGTGAAGCTTTGTGCACCTTTTTGCCCTGGGCTTTGTCTCTATTACATACAGGTTTCCCTAATCAACCAATTGTTAGCGCATGTTGAGGCCGCTTGCATCCTCCGAGGAACGCTGCAGATATTACATAAGACTAAAGAAAATACAGCAGGCTCCTCTGAATATTTCTTGCACGAAAAAGAAACATTAATCTTTATTTTGATTTACAGTTCATATTTTTCCTAAAAGGATATTACAATTGAACATCAGTCAAACATAAGGAACTAGCAAACTTAAGTAAAGATGCAAATACAACATTATTTATCATTGTGTATCGGTACAAATAGGACTAATAATATGTTTGTGTGTCTTTTTAACTATTATGTCAGAACCCCAGCTCTTACAAGGTCACGCCTTTACGAAAAAGAGTCCCGTGTTACAAAGCATAACCAATGCTTTATTGTGTCCCCTCTCAAACCAAACCTACACCCTCTATATCAGTAAAGATTATCTATTATTGTTGAAAAGACCACAGCGCATCCGCAGTGCAACCACGGTTTAATACAATTGGTCCCCGCTGTACAGCTCATTCAGAAATGGCCGTGGTCCAGTCTTATGTCCCCATACGACCCATTTATATATCATAACACCTACCCCCTCAACCATCTATTCCAATTATACCACATTTTAATGTTTTCCTTTGCTCCCCATAGCTCTTATATACTGTAAATGCTTTTCCAAGCAATTATCTCTATCTTGTCCTTTTGGTTGTAAAGATGTTTTTTAATATAACTACACCTATTGTGAGCTTCAGGTATATATACATAAAATGTAAATGCACTGAGGACGGATGTAGGAGAGGGGGGGATGGATGAGAGCAGAGAAAGGGAGCTGCAGAGCACTCGGCGCCTCTGCGGCAGCATTAATATTGCACTATGGCCTTGGAGCCATGAAAAGCTACGTTGGCGAGCTCGCAGACATGAAAGAGGAAATGGAGAGAAAACCTGAGCATGCTACATAAAACCTGAGTCAGTGCTGTGACTCAACTGTGAAAATAAAATCGAAATAGCATATCATCCTCAAACTATTGAACACATTCTTCAGCAACAAGGACAAATCTTCCACTTCAACAAATACAGACATACAGCTATACATATTTTCCCATGGTTTTAAATAATGTATGGAATAAATTAGAGGTTATCGGGTGTGATAATCCAGTAGTGAGTTGGTTTAAATTATACTTAAGTTACCATTCAGTATGTAGATATTATGGTAGCTTAATAGATCCTGCAGTGGTAACGTGGCGTTCCACAGGGATCAATCCTAGGCCCCTTTTCCAAATATATAAACTATGAAATCAAGATTATGTGGTTTACTTGATCAAAATGTATGGTTAAAAAATTCTCCAGAAGCCTAAAATGTTAGTGAAAAGAAAATGTTATGTAAGGTTTTAAAACAAACAAGAACATAGTAATTTATATCGTCATGGTCTTTCTAAGTAGCAACAAACCAGTTTACAAATTGCAAAAAATAACATGTTAAATTTACATACATTAAAAGAACTCACTTAAAGGCATAGTAAGTGATTGTAATCCAGTACACTTTTTGTTAAATTCACCAAATATTTCCTCTTGGTTTGCTAGCTCTCCGTTTTGTGTGTGCTCTGAAAAGTTTTTCTACAGAGCCGTGGCTCTGTACATTGAAAATAAAGAAAGTGGTGTGGACCTTCCCCACAACATTGTTTCAGCCAATCAGCAAGAGTTAGTGCCCGTGCACAGGAGTGGGGGTTAGTTAGTGCAAGAGAGAGTTCTATACACAGTTATATTTTTATCCTGTGACATGCTTTAATTTATGCATAACATCTTGTTTATGTTATATTTTATTTCATTTTATATTTTACTTACAAGTCCATGTCACATGTTGGAATAAATTTGTGTATTTGTTTGTTTCCTTTTCTCTTATTTACTTTTTTGTAAACAAAACATTTCTTGCAGCTGCTTCACAACAAAAGCCTTCAAGAAGTTTTGGGGAATTAATACTTTGAAGCTGCTGCCGAAAGTGTTCTCTGCGCTAACATCAAATTAACATTACATGCCACAGCAAAAATCTGAATTAAAATATAAGTAGTTAAAGGTTTACAGTTCATCACGATCCATGGTATCCAGATATTACATTTCTCAAAATTAAATAGTGAAATCTAATGGTGTACCTTTTAAAGATGGCATGGGAAATCCCCCTAGTGACCCTCTAATCAACATTCAAAGTGGGTGGGCTCGTATTTTGGCCCATTAGAAAGGGAAATGCACACACACCATAAAGCAAATGACAAACAGACCCTGCCCAGAATGTGAACATGGTGCTGACATTTACATTTGACAACCAGACATCAATGTGCAGAATAAGAAAATGGTACTAACTGTCGTTCTGCTTTTTAAAGGCGATAAGTCAGGAAGGCCAAGAAGTGCATTATTTATAATGTGGAGAAACCAGACTGGAACAGACAGTGGGAAAAGAGAGAAAGGAAAAACAGAAAGTGTTTGCTTATTTATAATGGGAAAAAGTCAATTATAGTGGTATTATCTCTTCTGAATGTTCAGGTCTTCATCAAGCAGCTCCAGTTTAGCTTAGCTTAGCATTACCAGCACCTGTAAAGCTTAGTTCCGGTACGTAACTGATCATAAAAACTGGTCATTTTTACATTTTGTTTTTTTGACATGTTTATTAGTCAAGTAAAGATTAAACATTATATATATAGAAATACCAGGAATACATAAATTTACATTAAAAACAGGCTTAAATAATCTTACTGCACTGATTTTTTCACATCACAAGTTGTCAAGTGATTTAGGTTTTCCAGTGGATTTTGAGTGGATTTCATAAGCCCATGGGTTGGGGCATTTTCTCAACTCCCAGGTTACAGCAGCCCTTCAAATTAATTAAAAACAGATTTGTTTTGGATGCTAACTGACATTAATTGGGACTAGCAGAGCAGAAACAGTCAAGTGTCAAAAACCAACCTTTGTCCTCCACATGTTCCCTCCTCCCCTCCCCGGCCTCTCTGTCTCCATTCTCCTCTCCCTCTCATTCCCATCACCGCATAACTAAGCAGCTGCTTACCTTATTAACATTTCATAGCGAGGAGGAAAAGAAGGGAGGTGGTGAAAATAAACCTTATTTCCAACATCTGCATACTGAGGCGGGCTGTGAGGCATACACAAGCTATATATAACTCCAAGTATGATGCACCAGAAACCAGCCTGGGAGAACCTGAATGTGTGACAGAAGAGGAGCAGGTCGACTCAGAAAAACAGAATCTGTCTGCCTCACTCCCACAGTTTCCCTTTGTTTATGCTTTGTCTGTTAGGCCGTATCCTTCCCTCACTGCAGCCACAGAGGAATAGATGGAAAACACAGTTAGTCCAATAAATCAATGAAAGATTTGAGAACTAATTGAATTTGTAGCCTGAGTGAGTTGCAAAGGCTATTTGAATCTCTTGAAATGTGTTTGTCATTGTGGTATATTGGTGTTCTGCAGCTGATCTAAGAATAGGAAAATTATGATTAAAGTGCAACCAGCTATGTTGATATATGCCAATCTCCAAATCTAACCATAATAGCGTGTGTGCAGTAGCCTACTTGGGAGTTTTCCTTCTTTAGTATATGTTTCTGTCTGTATTTCTTAATGGAAAACTAACTTAATATTCTTAACATTTGTAGTTATACAAGGGATGTGAGAGTTGTTGAATAATTCAGTTGCAACAGAAATTTAAAAGAAATCATTAGTCTACTCACAAAAATAGTTCTATACCCAACAAAGCAGGAAAACAGTTTTGGTCATTCTTTTAACACCACCAGCAAAACTGCGTATTTCAGAAATGTCTGAGCTAGCATAGCTAAGCTACGATTTTAATAATGCGTAAAATATGTTTCAGCTTGCAATATAACTAACAGGCAAACAATATATTAAACTTAACTGCCAATCCTTTGTAAATGTAGGACTGTTGCTTTATATCTGTATACATGTAGCAATAGGAAATATCCAGTAGCTATGTTATTGTTATGTTGTTTTATTATTTCCAATGTAATTAGCATTTTGTGTTGTTTTGTGAAATATAATTTAAAATCCTCTACATCTTTATTAAACGGCATTTTTAGTGTCAGGTCAGATGTGTCAACCTCCTGTACTCCTCTCTTAATGAGTCATATGTTAGGAAGCTAACGTTAGTTTTGTCATTTAAGCTAGTTCAGTTATGCAGCCGTTACAACTGGCAGCTACTGAGTGTAAATATGTAGTAACAACTACTTAATCTCTATTTAAGAAGTAGTTTGTGTGGTGCAACCTGTTTGAATTTGGTCATATGAAAATCTCCATGTAGTAAACACTTTTGCTAAGTTTGAATTTAGCCTGCATTTCAAGTTTTTGTGGAGATTATCAGTATTCTCATTCAATCTGAAAAAAACTGCTTACTCTTACTCTTTCCTGGGAAGCACGGTATAGTTCAGATATTCAGCTTTTAAGATCCTGTATTCTGATATTAGCTCCTTGGAGAGTCTTCAAACAGTTGTTAGCAATTAGATGACATCACACAACTAATATATATA